GTTTGTGCGCCGGCCGAAGAAGACAGCGAGGATGGATGGATGGATGGGCGTATTGGATTGATGCGACGGGACTGACTGGGAGGACGGGACGGACTGCAGATCGGGAGCAGTTGGAAAGTGAGATAAGGGTCTGGCCGGGACTTGGGATCTTGGGACCTGGCAATGGAACCGAGTACGCCGTATTGCGCCAAGTAGTCGCAGCGTACGCGGTGTCTGGTAGATTGGAAGCTGGAACTGGGCTGATTCGGAATGGAAATGCACCGCCAGCGTTCCGAACGTTGCGTCTATCCTGACGAGGGCGCGGGATTCAGCCCAGACTCCAGACTCCAGACCTAGGGTACTCCAGGCGTTCAGTGACCACTTCCATGGCCATGGTGGCTTGCTTCCCACGCGCGGTACGCTAATTTCCCGCGGCGGTCTCTCTCCAGCTTCTACTTTCCTTCCTCACCATCACTGCCACCTGCGAAAAGGTGCGGTACGTACCCGGACAGTCATCCGTTCTGCCCACCCCCGCCTTCGCTCTGTCCACGCCTCCGCCGGTCCGTCCCCAGTCCGACGGCTTAGTCAGGCGCTGATTGGACCACTCAGGTGGGATAGACGGACTTTTGGACAGCTTCGAGTGGGTCTCGAGGGGTCGAAGCCGGAATGGAGCCACGCCAGGCCGCTGCCGCCAAAAAAGTTTACACTTTCCATTGTCTGCGTGGTGCGGCAACGGTCAATGGCAATGACACTTGCACTTGGCGAGAGCAACAGAAGCGCATGGAAAGCCCAGAAGCGCGACTCTTTCACCTTACGCAGTAGAGTAACAACTCTTTTCTCGGGCAGTTTACCAGCCAACGGGTATTTGCTACGCTGCTAAGGTACTCCAGGTGGTTTGTTTCTGACAGCCTTGGTCGGGTCTGACCGGTGAAGCAGGCACTCAAGCAATGCAACCGCAACCGCACATCTGACTCGGGCAGCTCGTTGAATCATCAATGACAGCGCAGCCGAGTGGCAGACGATGCATGCCTAGATGGAGATCATGATGGATCCCGTCTGCCAGCCGCTGTCGATTGGGTTGGGGAAAGCGAGCCAAGGGGACCCCGCGAGACCGATAACGAGCACGCGCCATGCTTGCCCGTCGTTTGTGTCTTGTGTGTCTGTATGTCTTGCCTCGTCTTGTCGCTGCTGTCAGCCTGCTTCTGCTTCTGCTTCTGCTGCTGCTGCTAATTACATGAGGCCATCCCGCGGACCACGAGCACGGCCACGCCCACGGCAGTTGCGAATGCTGTGCCTCATTGATTGGCCACGGGCAAAGCCAAGGAGCCCTCTCTGTCGTCGTGGGGGTTGCCGTGTCGTGCCTGGTCCGCTACCTTACCCGGCCTCATATCCCCCTCCCTCGCCTTACTCGAACGTATTATTTCCATCACTTTCCGCGTCCTCGGATTCCGTCGCAGGGACCACCGGTATTCCATTCCGGGCCACCACATGGTTTCGTCCCGTCTGCGTCCACGTCCACAACGCCGGCATCAAATTCCAGTGTCAGCGGCCTCAATCAATGACAGCCACACTTTCGATTACGTACTGCCGCCTCTGACGTACGAACCGCGAACTCTACTCACCTTACCTACGTCCCTGATTCCTCGCGGAGATCGGCGCATCACTCAAGCATGGAGGGCCGCCCCGGTTCCAGACACCGTGTGCAGGCGCAGCACCGACGGCGCGGGCCATGCCACCACCCTACCCTCTGCGCCTGTTTCTGAACGGTAATCCCGCTTCTTGACTGCGGCATCACCACCGTCCGTCGAGTTCAAGGCTGTCGTCGAAATAGAAGAGACAGGGACATCGGACTGGTAGAGGGTACATGCCCGAACACGAATACGCGTGCTGCATGAACCACAGCGGACCTGCGTCGGCATGTACTCCTCTAACTCTCGGCCGAGCGATTTCCACGATTGTCCGCCTAGTGGAGTCGGCGCCCCGGACGAATACTCCTCCCATGATGCCGGGCCGGTCGGCAGTCGCTAAAGGGCTATTGCAGATCGTCACTGTCTGCCTTCATCCAGTTAGGTCGCCTGCTGGCCCAACCCGAATAACCCGCCGTGAAACCGGACTCCCATCGGCGGCATTCGTGCCAGCCTTCGTTGAAAATTATGGACCTGGGATTCGGGCCACCTGGCCACTCCGGCCTGTCCAACATCGGTTTCACCGCATTTCTTCGACTTCGGTCTCGGACCTTCACACAGTCCTCTCGCTACCCTCCGCCGGTGAATGCCCACCTGGATCCCACCCCAGCCATCCTCTCGCTTTCGTCTATCGCCGATTAAGCCCACGGTTCTGTGCCATCGACGGGATTGCGAATTGCAAGCGACATCACCATTGCATTCAGGCACACGAGGCGGCAGACCCTGAGAAGATCGCATGTCTTGCATATGAGAGGGCTGACAGGCAAGCCCAGGGGCATCTATTAAAAGGAGCCACCGCCAGCCGCTGCCGTCGCGACGCAGCATGCCGTCCGCTCGCTGTCGCACGTTTTTCTTCTCCCTGGCCCCCAACGAAAAGTTCTAGACAAGTCGTTCATTTTTTCGGTTGGTCTCTCCGCTGCGACGATCGAACGTTTTCGTTTCTTTTCTCTGTTCGACAGCGTGCGTCTCACGGCATGTTACGTTCACTATTGGGTACGGACAACTATGATCGAAAAAGGTGTCGTCATGTTGCGCGAGCCGCACGCTGCACACTACTATATTCAACTCCTCGCAACTGCAGGTGAGGTCCGAGGAGCACCAGCAGCGAACCGGTGCAGGTCAGGTGCAATCGATGGTCGTGATGATCGAGTCTAGAATTGGCGATGCCAATAATTGCCCTTGGCTCATTTCATTCAAGCCGGGGTCGATACTGTTCGGATATTTTATTTCCAGCCCACATGTATGATGCGCTGCTGCGGACTATCCTCCGAGAAATGATAATCGTCCTACAGGTGCCGCTATCCGTCTTCAGCTTGTGGCTGTCAAGTGTGAGCTTCGCAACCTCGTCTCGCGTGCGACAAACTCTCGCTGTCCTCAATCTCGTCCCTTCTTCGGCAGAGTTGATCTTCAGCGGCAGAGATGAACCACTGCACATCCCATTCGGTCGGATCGGCTGATGGGCGATAAGACGCGGGTCTGCTTCTAGAGTTCATCGTCGGTCGGCGGGAGCGGCCACTACCGAAGGCCGCGCATCAGGTCAAATCTGCAATGCTGCGTGGCCGTCTGCATGGCCGCCGACACGGGCCCCGAGCACTTCAAAAAAGCCATGGGCTAGAAGCTCAAATCGCAGAGGTCGAGAGAAAATTCCCGCCAAGCGATAGCCAGTGCGCCGCGCTCTTTTGCCCCTTGCGTTAGCCCCGGATAACTCTTGGACCATTCCCCTTCAGGGCGGGCATTGACGATTGGGCCTGTGACTTCATCTTCACTTTGCAAGCTGATGCGCAACACGAGATGGCCCGGCTGGATTGGATGGAATCGGCCAAAGTTGCCGCTCCAGGTCACTCCCAGCAAGCATCCAGGGCCACTCGAAAGGGGTGAGGGTCCATCCGTTGTCAATGGTGCCCCCCCTCCCTTCCCTCTTGGCTTTTTGGTTCTTGACCCTCAGGGACCAATGCTTCCCTTGACTGTCCCTCGTCCACCCGCCGATGGAGGCTCTTGATTGGTTGCTGCCCTTGCATAGACAGCCCTTGTCGCGTGGCCAATGCCTCTCTGAAAAATGTGATGGTCCTTGAATTGGGGCTGCGGAGTGCGGACTGTGGGCGAGGCAGGATGATTATTAGGGGCGGGTTTGGCTCTGGCTTGACACCTGAAATGGGCCTGAGTGGACTGGTGCGGACGCCGAAGCAGCAGCAGCAGCAGCACAACGGCCCAGGAACCAGCAGCGGGAAGCGTGCAGCGGGAGACGCGCCGGCCAAGGATGAAGGATGATGGCCCAGGCTTCGTTTCCCCCAAAAGTCCCAGTCGATGGTGCAGAGTGTGATCTCATCTTTTGTCAGAAAAGATGGCAGTCTTGTTTTCGATTGTCCCACCCACAGAACAGAGGCCAGAAAGCCAAGAACAGGAGACGACAGCAAGAAGCATGACATCGGCATGGGTTGGGCTCCTGGCATTCTGCTCATGGTGGTCTTGTGTGAGGCCTGTCGACGACGAATGAGGGCATCGAACGGGGACCCTGAGCAGAAGAAAAGCACGGAGTTCGGATCGGATGACTTACCCTGTGAGGTGTGTACCGCAGGTCATCCCTACCAAACCGACAGCAGGACCATCAGGACGAGGTACTTGGTCCGCTGCGACTACAGGGCCGTTGACAGGCGTATTGACGCAAGAAGCAGAGGTATCCAGGACCTTACGGGCTCGCTTGAGGGTACTGAGCCTCCCCTTACGGATACCTTGCCTTATGCTTCTTTTCCTCCCCTGGCCCGAATGCTACTCGCTGGTCATATCCAGCAGTCCCGTCCACAGAAATGATGATTGGCCCTTGCCAGGTCACTTGCTGCGTATGGAGGAGGCCGTAAGTGAGGAGCACATGGTGGCCTTGTGCCCGTTAATGTAGCACTCCCGGTACCGATGCGCGAGTGTCTCTCACCCGCTCACCAACCACCTTTGAGGACTCTGTCAAATAAGGCAGAGGCCGACGTCAAGTGGTGGTGCTTGCTTCGTTTTATTGATTGAATTGATTGATTAAAACCGATTCTGGCTGTAGATTGACTGGACTGCTCGGCCTCGCTGCCGCCATTTGCCTGCCTCTTCACTTCAGCCTTTTTGACTGAGTGAGGTTCCTCCCGTTCAGCTTCTGTCTCCTTTTTCCCATCCGTCATTCATCCATCCAGCACACCCACTCCGAATCCCTTTTTTCCCGCCGCCTCTTAATTTTTTTTTTTAAACCTCCTATCGTCATCCTCCGCCCTCCGACTCCGTCCCTCACGTCCATCTGTCCTTCTCCTGCCGGCCGCCAGTGACGGTAACACGAACCTCGAATGTCGTAAGACCCGGATCATGGGACTCGATCCGACGCGACAATGGGTGAGTAGTATAAGTCTGCATTACACACATTACCTCACCTCCCCCATATGCCGCACCATACATCACACACCACAAACATACAAGCGTATGCGCATACTGTCCGTCATGCCTTACGTACTGCGCCTTTCCCTGATACCTTGACGGGCCGCGGCGGTGGATGATGGATACATGGACGTTTCGCTGCCCTCCATCTCGTCTCGTGTCGTCTCTTCTGCGGCCCGCCGTGGTCTGGTCTGGCCTCGCCTCACCCGATTACTTGTGAGCCGTCGTCCTCGGTCGACTACTGATCGGGAGTACACTACACCACCACCGCCGCTACCCTGATCCGCCGCATCCACACACGCTCAGCACACCCGATCTAAGGGCACACAGACACGGGTCTAAACCAGCCTCGCGCCGCTTTGCTCTCTGCTCGCTGCCTCGCTCTGTACCTTTGGTGGGCGCTGTGCTGTGCTGTGCTGTGCTCCCGGCTCTACACCTTTCGACCACCAACACCACCGGGTTACTGTTATTATTGTTGGCGTTGCTGTGCCGTGTGCCGTGTGTGCGCCGCTCTCTCTTCCTCTCTGCTTCCACTGCCCTTCTCCCCGGCTCTGGCCTTTCGCTTGCGTTGCGCCCTACATACCATTGTTTCCCCCCTTCTACTCCATCGACATCCCCTTCCTCCCTCTAAGGCCCCGCGTCCCCCTTCTCCCGGCCCTAGGCTTGCGTTGGTGTGTGCCGGGCCTTACATCTGTGCACCTTCAAAACGTCTAACGCATCCAAACCTCCACCCCGTCTCCGTCCCTACGCGCAGCCAGTTGTTTCACAAGAGAGGGGAAAGGCCTGTCACTGACCATAAGACGTCGTCTCGTCTAGCTCCGTCCCAGACGACGCTGCCCGATCTTTTGCAGGAACCGCCGTTAAAGTTCTCTCCGCGATCCGTCACGACACTCGACGAAGAAGACGAGGAGGACGACGGTTGGGACCGAACCCTGAGGCCCGCCGCCCTGGAACCGCATCCTCGCTCCGTCACCCACTCCCGCGAGTCCTCCATCGAAAAGCTCTCCCAGCCGCTGCCCCCGGTCGCCGGCTCGAACCTAACTTCGCCTCGGATAATACACAACCACTCCCAGTCGCGCTCTGCCATCGGCGGCGTCATCGAGCGAGTCGTCGACCCCAAGAGCGCCTCCTACGGCCATCACCGCCAGACCTCCATAGTCCACGGCATCCAACACTCTAGAAATGGAAGTCACGCCAGCTCTTCTTCGAGCCCCCTCAGCCCGCAGATGATTGCCGCTGCCGGCGCGAGCCTCACCTCAGCCTCCTCAGACCGTCCCGACATGCATGCCGTCGGGCGATTGGACCCGGACGCGCCCCCGGGGCCGCGTCCCGGCACCGCCCTGTCCGGCACCACCGTCAACACTTCCGGCGGCCCTCACGTCCCCGAGAGGACCTCTTCCGCGACCGACTTCACGAACCCTTCCCTTACGCAGAGGAAGATGGAACGAATGCACAGCAAGTCGAGACGCGACCACGCGCACCACCACTCACACTCCTCGAGGCACCACAAGGACGAGCAGAAGACCGTTGGAGAATACGCGCTGCATGTGCTCTTCACATCCGTATGGCCCCTTCCCCTTGCGCCGGCCACTCTGGGTAGTCACAGTTACTGATAATCATTGTGTGTTCTAGTTCATCGCCCAAGCCGAGGAGAAGCTCAATGACTGCATCACAGTACCATTCGAGCCCGAGCCGCAGGTCGAGCAGATCTGCGGCCCCGGAGTCGATCCCTCCTTCGATCAGATCATTACCGCCTTAGGCCACATCGCCCGACCACGACCGAAACCCCTGATAGATTCCATGATGCTGTGGAGGAAAAGCAAGAGCGACGCCGCCAATGAAGCCCGGAGCCAGCTGCAGCAGTCGAGGGGAGGAGCTGCCCCCGTGCCTCTCCAGCGCAGAAACACCGAGCCGCTTCAGCCCCTGTCCGGCGGAGGACAGATGGACAACGGGCTCACGAGTCCGCAGACCTCCCTTGCTGCCAGACAAGAATTCGTCGCCCACGCCGAACGCCGCTCGACGGTCTCGATCTACATCCTGTGTCGGGTCTTGTTGGAGGTCATCAGCCAGACGAGTCTGCCATTTTTGACGTTGGAGATGGAGGAGAAGCTGGAGGGCATTATTTTTGGACAGCTCAAGATCGCCGATACCGATCAGCTGATGGTCAGCCCCCTGAAGCTCGCCAATTGGAATCTTTTCGCCCAGCTGCTAGGCGTAATGAGCGAGATCAACTTCAAGGGGGTCACGGACAGGTTTCTCGGCGACATCGAACGAACCCTCCAGGAGTTGGTGGTGAAGAGTCCGACTTCTCCGGCTGGCCGCGATGCCGAGGGCAAGATTGAGCTGGTTCTGGGCGGAATGAAGCATCTGAAGGTCAACATGGTCCCGCAGGAAGCTTGGGAGCAGTGCTGCGAATTTCTCGTCATCGTTGGACGGCTTTTTCACCGCTCCCACGGCCAGCGCGTAAAGACGGCTTTCTGCCAGGTGCTCGAAGTGCTGCTGCTCTCCGTGGCCTCCAAAGCCACAAACCAGGACCTGGCTCATCCGAAATGGATCGAGGTTCTCGGTGCCATTGGCCCTCGGCTGGCGCAGATGTTCATTAAGCCCCGGCACTGGGGCTTTGCGTTCCCCCTGACGGCGACCATGCTCTGCGTATCCACGCCGGAGACTTTCGGATCCCAATGGCTCCAACTGATCTTACCGCTGCAGCCGAAGCTGAAGGATCGCTTCACCCGCCCACTCTGTCTCCAGGTCATTTCGAGGCTGTTGTGGACATATCTTTACCGAACAAACGATTCCCTACCAAACACGACGAGGAAACTGGACGAGGTGATGAAGTTGGTCCTGCCGCCCACGAAGCGAAGTCTGATTGCCGCCGATTCAGCTGTTGCGGAGCCCATTATCCAAATCATCCGAATCATCGGCTACAAGCAGCCGGAATACTGCTTCAAGCATGTCATTTTCCCTCTCATCAACGCCGAGGTGTTTGTGACGAACAAGGAGCTCAAGGTTGAGCAGCTGGACCCGGATCGGATGGTCATTGGCATCAGAGCTTTCCTTGCCATCATGGCCGACCTCGAAAAGGGGGATCAGGGACGGCCACCCTTCCCAGTCGCATTCCCGCCACCATCGCCGCCAGAACGCGTCCCTACATCACCCGTCATGGCATCACCACATAATTCTCTGAGCATCTCCGCGCCCGGAGAAGGCGAACAACTCTCTCGCCCTGTGCGCACGTCAGCCCTCAGCGACGTGGTCAGGGAATACTATCATAAATTTTGCGAGATACTAGGAAAAATCACCATTATTTGCGACAATACCTTTGGCGGCCAGGCTGTGTTGGACGAAAAGTTCAACAGCCCCGGCCCGAAGACTCCCATTGCGGACACATTTAACTTTTCGCGGCGAGACGACCATCAGTCTCCCGCAGATCACAAACAGGCGTTCTACGAGCTATTGCATGTTGCGGTTCAAGCGTTGCCCCGTTGTCTCTCTGTCGATATACCCTTCAACTCATTAATCAACCTTCTCTGTACCGGAACCGCACACGTGCAGTCCAATGTCGCGTTCTCGTCGGCCCAGTCGCTCAAGGCCATTGCGAGACAGGCCCATGCTCAGCAAGTCACAATGGGCTTTGCGAGGTTCATATTCAACTTTGACGACCGATATTCTACCATGTCCGACGGGGGGATGCTCGGCCCTGGCCACATTGAAAGCACTCTCCGCCTGTACGTTGAGCTACTACAAATTTGGATCGAGGAGATCCGGCGAAAGACTCGCGATGCCTCGATTGACCAACTCGAGGCCAGCGACAAACGGGGGGCGAAACTCGATCTGTCTGGTATCTGGGCTGAAGTAGACCAGGCCGAAGCCCACGGACTGTTCTTCCTGTGCTCGCAGTCTCGGCGGGTGCGATACTTTGCCATTACGGTTCTCCGGCTCATCACCGATTTCGACAAGGCCTTGCAGAACCAAGACAAGGACACCCTGAGAGTCATCGACATTCTCGAGAACGACTCGATGCAGGTGATGAACTTCAAGGACGAGGGTTTGTCGGTCGCTGAACGCAGCAGGCTTCAGAGGGGAATGCAGAACAGCAACAACCGCGGCGCACTCGTGGAGCTGTGCACCAGCGATGTGTCATACGATACCACGCTGTGGTTCAAGCTCTTCCCCAACCTGATCCGCATAGCGTACGAGAAATGCCCATTCACAGTCACCATTGGCCGGGACCTGATCTGCAACCGAATCCTGCAGATGTACAAGGCCATTGTGCTTCTCTCGGAGCCTTCCAGGGGTCTCTACTACGGATCTGATCCTGGCAGCGCCCGCATCGCCGGTAGGACACCGACGACACAACCCGAGATCCTTGTGGAACAGTGGAAGCTCTACCTCATCTTCGCCTGTACGACATTGGCCGACCCGGGAGCTGTCGTTCCCGCCAACCCGCAAGGGACACAGCATACCCGAAAGACCTCCAAGCCCACCTCGGCAGACAAGATTGTCTCAGCTCGGGTGCTATTTAAGTACCTGATCCCCCTCCTCTCTGTCTCCTCGGCTTCTGTGCGAGACGCAGTGGTCCTCGCTATGGGTTCTATCAACATCCACATCTACCGCACGCTTCTGGAGGAGCTGGCCGGGCAAGTGTCGCGCTGCAACGACGAAGCCCGCGCCCGCATCCATCAACGCACCAACAGCAGCCCGCGCCGCAACCGCAAGATGGACTTGCTCAGGACGGAGATCACGCACGTGTACAAGCTGACCTGCCACTTCCTCAAGCAAGAAGATGTCTACAACGACGAGTGGGTTCTGACCAATCTTGTTACATACACGAGAGACCTGAAGCTGTTCCTCATGGACGGTGAGGTGCAGATGGACTGGGAGTTCCAGAAGCTGAGGCGCCACTACTGCGGTCTCATGGAGGAGCTCTTCGGAGGCATCAACAGAACCAAGGATCCTTCTCGCTGGATGACGTTTGAGTCCAGGAAGTCCGCGTTCTCCTTGATGGAAGACTGGTGCGGCTTCTCGCCGAACCAGACACAGATTCGGGTCCGCGAAGATACCATGAGACAGTCCCTCATCGACCAGCAGTCCCTGGGCGAGAGGGGAACGGTCACCGCGGCCATGGAAATCGAGAAGCGCAACCTGCGCACCGCAGCTCTGAGTGCCATGGCAGCCCTCTGCGGCGGCCCGATGAGTATCACCACGGAGAGCGGCAACACGCTCCAATTCGACGTCCGGAGGATGCTGGCGTGGATCGAGGCCATTTTCAACTCGGGCAGCGACCGAATGAACGTGATTGGACGGAGAGCTCTGCAAAACCTCATCGTTCACAACCAAGAGTACCCGTATCTGTTGGAGCATTGTATCGCGCGTTGCTACCTGACGGACGTTTCCAAGGTCCAGGAGAGCTACTTTGCAGTGGTCACTCAGGTCCTGCTGGAGCACCTCGACTACTCGTGCCCCTTTTGGAAGCTGCTCGGCCTCTGTCTCTTTACCTTGGGCAACGATGAAAGCGAGATCCGATCAAAGTCCGCCCGCGTTCTGAGGGCACTCGAAGAGCGACAACAGCCGGGCCGCACTTCCAAGATCCAAGACTACGACATCAGTATCTCGGACAAGACCAAGGCGGTGTACAAGCTCGCCCAGTTCGAAATCTCCAAGCGACTCGCCAAGCAACACACGGAGTTGGCCTTCCACATCTTCTCCGAATTTACGCTCTACTTCAAGGATCTTCAAGCGGCATCCCAACGCAACGTAGTTGCTGTCATCTTACCCTGGATTCAGTCTATCGAGCTCAAGGTCGATCCGAACGGCGGCCCGATCGCTCAGTCATACGTTCTCCTGGCCAATTTGCTGGAATGCACCATCAAGTCCAGCGGCGCTTTGCACAACGAAGTCCAGGCCTTGTGGCAGGCTCTCGCTACGGGGCCATACCCCGGAAACGTGCGGTTGATTCTGGACTTCATCATTTCGCTGTGCCTCGAGCGCCGAGAGCAGAACTTTGTTGAATATGCCAAGCAGATCGTGGTCTTCCTCTCCAGCACGACAAGCACCCCTGGGATGAAGGTTGTCGAGTTCCTTCTTATGCAGATTACCCCCAAGGCCATGGTGCCAAATGAGAAGAAGGACGCCATGCCGCCGCCGCCCGACATCGGTCTGCTACCTTACTGTGCAGACCTCGGAGAAGCCCTCCCTGTCGGCACTAAGCAAGCTGGGTTCTCTTTGGGACAGCTGTCGCTCATCCTCTTGGTGGACCTCATGGTGTCGCCCGTGCACTTGACCCCGGACAACGTGCCGGTGCTCCTCCAAGTCGTCACCGTTCTCTGGGACCATTACACGCCTCTTGTACAAGAGCAAGCCAGGGAAATGCTAGTCCACCTGATCCACGAGCTCGTCATCTCGCAACTAGATGACCAGACTCCGCCCACGGCTCGAGCGTCGATCGAGGATCTCATCGACCTCATCCGTCGCCACGATCGCTCCGTCGTCTGGGGCTACGAAGACAGCAACGGCAAGGCCGACGACCACGACAACAAGGTCCCCCCAAGCATGGAGTTCCTCACGGCCGAAGTCGTTAAGACCTTTGAGATGACGTATCCTGGCATCAAGGACCAGTGGGGCAGACTGTCCTTGACATGGGCGACCTCCTGCCCCGTGAGACACCTTGCCTGCCGGTCTTTCCAGATTTTCAGATGCATCCTCACCTCGCTGGACCAGTTCATGCTAGGCGACATGCTCGCTCGCTTGTCCAATACAATTGCTGATGAAGACACCGAGATCCAGACTTTCGCCATGGAGATTCTCACGACGCTCAAGACACTCATCCTCAAGCTCGATGCTGACAAGTTGCTCACCTTCCCTCAGCTATTCTGGACGACCTGCGCTTGTCTGGAATCAATCAACGAGCGGGAGTTTTTGGAGGCCGTGGAGATGCTCAACGAGTTCCTCTCCAAGGTCGATTTCCAGCTGCCGCATGTTCGCCGTATGTTACTTGACGGCCAGCCGTCGAGATGGGATGGGCAATATGAGGGTCTGCAATCTCTTCTTTACAAGGGCTTAAGGTCTTCAGTATGTATGGAAGCGACCCTCAGCACCATCGACAAGCTGGTCCAGCTGCCGAGTGACGGTCTCATTGGAGATGACAGCCGGGTCTTCTTTGCTATCCTAGCCAACTTTCCCCGTTTCCTGCACGAGATGGAGCTGGATGAGCCTAGTGAGTCCGTGCTGCAGTCCGCTGAGATCCTATGTGCGGTTGCGGAAGCTCAGGGCCTCGGCAACATCTCTGTTGTCCTCGAGGAATACGTTGCCTTCAAATACCAGGGCAACAGCAGAGAATTTCAAAGCCGTCTCTTTGGGGCTTTGAAGGATCACTTCCTGCCCAAGCTGGACTTCAAGATGGTCATCTTCCTGATGGGCCTGCTCACCAACTCCACGGCCTGGGTTAAGCTGAAGACGATGAACATTCTCAGCATCGTCATACCCGAGATCGACATGCGCAAGCCCGAGCTAGCCGGACACGGATCGGATCTCATCTCGCCTCTCCTGCGCCTGCTGCAGACCGAATTCTGCATGGAGGCGTTGGAGGTCCTCGACAATATCATGACAATGTCGGGCAGCGCCATGGACAAGCAGCACTTGCGCATGAGCATGACGCGCTCGACCTCCAAGACGATCCGCAAGGAATACGAGCGCACCCAAAGCCTGTTCGGCATCCCGGAAGCATCCGGCTGGGCCATCCCCATCCCTGCCAAGAAGACGGATCTCACGCGCGCCAACATCCACGCAGCGTTCTACATGTGCCAGACCGCGGAGGGTATCATGACGGAGGCAACGCCGACGCCCGACGTCGAGTTCCATACAGACGATTTCCCCTACAGCTACTTCCACCAGATGCCCGACCGTACCGAGACGATGATGTCGGACGAGGGCCGCGGCGACGGCCACCTCGGCGATCTCGTGACGAAGCTGGACAGCCTCGACGACTTCTTCGACGACCTCGGAACAAGCCCGCCCAGCGACGGCCGCTCGTCAAAGACCATCACCGAGTTCTCGCCGGACAGCTTCGAGTCCGGGGCGCAGCTGTATGATGAGCAAATCCTGCCTATCTTGCACCAGGCCTCCAACAACAGCACGTTCCAGAATGGGTTTACTGACAGGCCACCAGCTACGGCAAGGGACCCGAGCAGCTCCAACACGATGAATCCTGGAGCCTTTAGCGCGTCGGCGGGCGGGTTGATGGCGGGCAACGGCGGGTCGCGGCCGGGTCTGCACCTGCGGTCCATCACGTCCCCGTCCGCGCCGGCGTCGTACCAGCCGCACATTAGCGAGTTCGCGTCGGACGACGAGTTTCCCGAAGACGTTTTCTCGGACGCGGACGACGAGCGGCCGAGCACGGGGCACGGCGGCGAGGGGTCCTTCTCGCTGGAGAACATGATCAAGCCGCTCGCGCAGAGCACGAGGTCGAGAATGCGCCGTCTGACGGGCGGCCGATCGCGCGAGAGCGACCGACAGCAGGAGCTGTTCCGAGCCGAACGAGCCGCGGCCGCGCAGGCGGTTCCGAAGGTGCCTACCAACTACTTGACGAAGATGCCTCCTCAGGGAGAGATGTTGTAGAGGTTTGAGGACGAGCATGTGAGATTCATATTTTGTGATTCTACTACTACGTACTCAGGGGCGTGTATCACAGACGTACCTTTTTGGAGGAAGATGTAAGAAAGTAACCGGAGAGGCGAAGCATTTTAACTACTACGTTGGACATGGAGCGTGCGATTGCATGTAAACAGACGAAACTTACGTATCTTCATATCACGACCAATGATGAATAGAGGAGAAGAGGCGACTGGAGGGGGGCGTACCTTACCTTACCTAATGACGAAAAAGAAGCAAGAAAAAGTTTACACGATTCTTTTGGGAATCACAGAATATTAGCATCTTCTGGTTCAAACGTGATTCTTGAAATTTTGTTAGACCAACCCTATAACTTTTGTCCCGGGGATATCATTCCTGTCTCTCTCTCCCTCTCGCAGTCGCGATGCAAATAAGAAGCTGGTGTCCGCGCCGCCCAGTGATGGGGATTCCCTTGGAAAACCTGTGTATGGTGTTCTCTAGTATCGGTGCCTCGTAGAGTAGTCCTTGGGACTGACGACCAGACCGCGGCCCTTCTTTGCGCCGCGGTATACGGTCTCGATGATGTCGATGAGCTCCTGCTTGTCCTCGAGGACCCAGTTGAGCTTGTTGTTGTTACCGGTGCCGAAGTCGACCATCATGTGCTTATTGCGGAAGAAGAACATGATGGTGCAGGGGTCGTAGAGCTCGTACATCTGGTTGAAGTCAGGGACCTGGTCGATGTCGCAGACGTAGATGGAGGCGAAGTTCTTGACGCGGTCGGAGATGCGGTAGAGGACCTCGTCCTGGCGCATGCAGTCCGGGTCGTAGTCGCGGCCGAAGCGGATGACGACGAGGCGCTCCTCCTCGGAGAGGATCGCCTGGTCGACGTGCCAGCCGGAGTTGAGGTGGGGGATGACGATGGAGCCCATGGTTGTTTTTTTAAGGGAGGTGGTGGAATGTGGTTCGTGGTGAGTTTGTGGCGTCTGGGAGGGTGTTCGCGGGGGAGGTTATTGTTTGGGTTAAAGCTGGGAGAGCCGCGATGGAGAGGATGGTGTTTCTAGGAATTTGGACGAGAGTTTGGTTGGTTGGTTAAGTTTAGGCGTAGGTAGGCGCGCCGCACGGCGAAATGTCATTGCGGGTCCACGGCCCCGCTAGATTGGTCCCCGCGCTAATCTCGATGCGGTAGATAAGATAGAGCGGTGGGTGCTGGCAGAACTTTTTATTTCTTGAAGGGTCTATCCACTGGCTCGCTTTCGCCGTGAAGCCAGTGAGAGAGCAGGAATGTGAGAGAGAGGAGATCTCTACATTCGCAAAATCTCAATTCAACACCACCGAAATCATGCCCAAACGACCGTCGCGCGGACCCGACGATGCGGCGCGCAAGAGGCAGAAGGTCGTCCACGAAGCGCCGACTTTTGAGGAGGTGAACACTGCGAGGCAGCTGCAGGGCCTCTTGACCTTCGACCAGGACCAGAAGCGTGCGAGACATGGTGAGTTTGGGTTATCTCGTTCCCAATTGCTTGGGAAAACCCCTCGAGAACCCATCTTGGCTGACTATATATCTACCCTAAAGGCATCCAATCCCTCAAAGTCTTTCTCGACGGCTTCAACACCCCCGACGCCGACAACAGCGACCGCTTCGCCCTCCTCCGGGAGTACCTCGTCGCCGCGCAGCCCCGCGACACGAGCGAGGATGCCGTGTACCTCCCCGACCTGATGGAGATTTGGGCGTTCGGCGCGCAGGTCAACAACGAGGGTCTCATGTCGGCGGTGCCCGCCGTGCTGGCGCTGCTGCTGCAGGTGGCCTCCTCGTCTTTGGAGCTGCTCCCGCGGGCGCTGGACCTGGCGCGCACGCTGCTGCAGGAGCGCCAGCTCAAGCTCGTCGCGCGCAACCTCTCGGCGCCCAAGGGCAGCGGGTACGTCATCTCGCCGACGCTGCGGCTGCTGCGCGAGGTCGTCACGCTCGACGGCGGGGCGCTCGCGCGGCGGGTGTTCCGCGCGCGGGAATCGACGTTTGCGAGCTTCGCGCGGAACCTCGAGATCCGGCACCTGGGATCCGAAGGGCTCGAAGACCCGTCGAAGCCGTCGGTGCGGACAAACGCGATCAAGCTGTTTCTGAGCTGTCTCAAGTACCTGCCGTCCGAGGCGAAGAAGGAGCTGTTGATGCTGAAGGAGGTGTTCTCGCACTTGACGTTTCTGTTGAAGGACGACCCGCCGTTTTTGATCTCGGAGATGCTGGATGCGTTGAAGAAACACGTGCTGCTGGACGAGAAGCTGCCGCGGGAGGTCAAATTTCGCGCGTTTAACACCAAGACTCTGGACCGATTGGCGGGGTTGTATGCGTACAGGCATGATGGCGAGGGGGAGGTGAAGGAGAAGGTGCACGAGTTCCTAGTGTATGCGTGTACATCCCCAGGGGCTGGGGTGTTGTACTCCGGCACAGGGCTGTACCCAAAGGAGCTGGAGGACGAGGCGGCGCAGGATGTGAAGAGCTCAGACGATTTTGGGCTGGAGCGCGTCGCGTGGATGGACAAGTACAAGGACGAGGTCGCTGTCGCCAACTTTGTGCTGTCCGAGTTCATTCAGAAGCTGCGGCCGTGGTCGAGTCTAAAACACAGCGAGCTCATCGTTGCCATCTTCCAGGCGGCGCCGGAGCTGGTTGCGAGCTACTTTATTGGCAACAAGTCCTTCTCCTTCGAGCCCAAGTTGTCCATGACGTGGATTGGGTACGCAGCCTTCCTCTTCAACACTGTTCACCTACCGCTACCGCCGCATTTTGGCCCTGCAAACGGGTACCGCCGCGTGCCCCCGCCGACATCGATTCTCCTCGACAACATCCTGCCGCTACCCCTGAAGCAACGTGATTTGGTGCGATGTCTTTCGCACAAGTCGACGCTGGTCTCCTTCTTTGCCGTCCGTATTCTCGTCCTGGCGCTGCAAAAGCTTGAAGTCGCGCTCAAGATGCACCGCGAGGCGGCCGAGTCGGCCAAGTCCACGTGGGACACGGCCTCCCGCAAGCTGATTGACGAGTTCTGCCAGAAGATCCCCGACATGAAGGAGGTCACGAAGTGCTACAAGGTCATGGCGGAGGAGAACGTGCTGCAGCGCGAGGCGGCCAGTCGGCTGCTGCTGTTGTACTACGAGGTCATCCCGCAGGTCGCCCTGCGCGCCAACTTTGACGTCTCGCCGTTCCTTGTCAACGCACTCAACCACCTCGACGGCAGGGCCGAGGAGCCGCAGAACCAGGCGCTCGCGCTCATGGAGCTGGAGAACCTGATCGCGATCGCGGGGTACTCGCCCGGCATGAGGTGGTTCGCCAAGGCGGAGGGGCTGGCGGCGTCGCCGTTTGTCGCGCTGCTGAAGCTGTATGTGGAGAACGCGCAGGGCAGGACGAAGCTGAAGCAGGTGCTGGAGTCCGTTGCGGTGCAGCATCAGCTCGTCCTGCCGGAGACGGGGCTCGCTCCCTTTATCCGCGCTGCGAAGGGCGTGAAGAAGGGCAAGGCAAAGGATATCGACTTTATCTGGGGGTATCTTGACAACTGTGCCGGACGGTGCGCCGCGTCAGCCCTGAAGTATGTGGACTTGATGCAGGAGAGCTTAGAGGACGACGTTTCTGCGAGTTTGATACTGGCTGCCATGGTGGAGCAGCTGCCGTTCATCGCTGACAAGACGACGGACAAGAAGGAGCTGGAGCTGCTCTCGAAGTTCCTGGCGCTTGTGCTAAGTTGTGCAAAGACAAAGGGGGAGACGTCAGCGGCGATTGATGCGCTGGCGAAGAAGATGACGGCAATACTCGACGGCCGCGCCCCGGCCGTCGTGCCCAAGTCAGACAAGAGTCTACTCGATGACGCCTCAGAAGAGGCGGACGAGTCCGAAGACACCACCAAGCCAGAACGACGAAAGGCAGCCACCGGCGGCGAGCTGGACGACTCGTCCCTCGAAGCCATCCTCGACGTGCCCTTCGCCGACGACGAGGACAACTCGGCCCTCCTGAAATGGAACTCCAAGAGCGTGGAGGACCTCATTGACGACGGCCACGCCGCCGCGCTCATCCGCCTCCTCTGGTCCGAGCACGCCAGCATCCGCCAGGAAGCCCTGACCAACATCATGAAGATGGCCGCCCGGATCAAGGAGTCGTCGTACGAGGAGAAGGACCAGAACTGGCTCCTCCTCTCGGAGCTGGCCGAGTCGGCGCGCGCGCTGGTGGCCCGCGGGCCCGTAGCCTCTCCGCTCGTCGCCTTCGCGATCGCGGCACTCGACGTCCTCCGCAACCCGCTGCACTGCCTCTACGCCAAGGTCAACACGTTCCTCACGCGCGGGCCCGTCTGGCAGGCGGACAAGGTGCCGCTCGCGCACGACATCCTGCACGGCGCGCCGTCGGACGACGACCGCTACTACACGGAGGTGAGCTGGCTGCTGGCGTATTTGTTAGACGGGCTGCGCGGGCCGGCGGACCTGGCTGTGTTTCACCAGAAGAAGTGGTTCGAGAAGGTGTTTGCGCTGGCGGCGAACCCGTACCTGCGGGCGAACCTGCGGACGAGGATATTGCGGGTGCTGTACCGCGCGACGTGCGTCGAGGGCGGGAGCACGACGCTGGCGACGAGGTTTGGGATTGTGAGCTGGCTGGAGGCGCAGGAGGCGCAATACGTTGCGGCCGGGGACGAGGAGGTGGCTAAGGTGTTTAGAGCGTTGAGGAGGCGGGTTTGGGAGACTTGTGATCGGGAGAGGGTTGGGGAGTGGAGTCGCGGTGGTGTTGTTGCGGTTTTGGAGGGTTGAGATGGTCGGTGATGGGAGGGTAGAGGTTAATGTATCAAAATAAGGAGGTCTAGGGTAGGGAAATCAAATGAGAGGGTATATGGCATTCAACTGCAACTGATATGCATAAGTCGTTCTGCTCTCCCCCTCAATTTGTTTGGTCCCACGTTGTTTTGAATTTCATAAGACGATTATAAAGTGCTACCGCAAATGCTTCCTTTTAAGTACTTAAAGCATAGGTTAACTACCAT